CCGGAGAAAGAGGTAATTCTTTTTTTGTCTCACGGGAAACAGAGAAAGAGCATAAACGTTCTTCTCGGCCTTCCGGCTTCCGCCATGGAAATCTTCCAACACGCCATGATGCAGATTTAATTAATTAAGATGGGGAAACTTCATCTTCATACTTCATACTTCATATATTCCATCAATGTGTGTGTTGCTTTCTTTCTTTAATTTCATGTCATACTTCGCCTTCTTAAGCCCAATTCAATTTTAAATTGAATCTTAATTTTATAATTCATGTGATATTTGATTACCCACATTATTTTTAGTTTTAATTTTCTATCAATCTAGGATTAATATTTGTATCTTTATAATTATGTTCCACTAAATAAAGTTGAAAACGTTTCGTATTGTACGGAAAAGGAACAAATTAAAGGTCATGGTGATTGGTGATCCATATACACATCACACGTTTCCCTTACGATAATTGAGTTTACTTTATAGCAATTGACAATTGTCGTGAATATAATGTTGAGTAGGTTGCCAACCTTCGAGTCTTGACTTGACTCAAAAGAATAAGGATAAAACTTGGCTCGGAGTAAGCTCCATGTTTTCCTTGCCAATTTGACAACTAAGTTAGATAGATGAAAAACAAAATTTTCTTTTAAAAAATAACCGACTTATCATATATCTAATAGTGGTAACACAAGGTTCTCCTTACTAATGAGCGGTAGGTTTTATTAGAAAATCAATAATGACTTAATTACTCGCTCTCGTTGAATTTTTTTTCCGTAAAATACCTTTTAACTCAAGACCTATCTCAACTTGTAATAAAAAAAAAGACCTATTTCAACTTCACACCTCATTCATTTATAATATATATATGTATTGTTTATACTTCTCTGTTTTAATGATCAAATATGTCATTAAATAAGAATGTTTAATTTCCTACCCATTATATGGGTGAAAAAATTTGAATCCCTATCACAAAAGACGATATTACTTACTTGTTCAAGTCAATACACCTTTGTTGATATTCGAGGGATAATTTATGATTGTGTTATAAAATGAATGAGTGGTAGATCAATGATTTTTATTGRGCGTGAATAATGAGTTGTTAAATATTTAATGGTAGTAAGAACATGGTCGATCTTTACTAATGAGAAGTCAAGTTTTATCCAAAGAATAATGGACTTACTCAATTTTTTTTCCTCTAAAATACTTGACTCATGAAAGATATTACTTACCTATTGTTCAAGATATTTGAAGAATAGTTTATGATTATGTTATAAAATAAATGAGTGGTAGATCCATAATTTTTGTTTCATGTAAATAATTAAAAATTCACATTGTGAAATCGGTGCATAATAACTTAATTATATATCCTATCAAATAAATCTTTTTCTATACATGTAACAAGTAGACATGCACATCAGTCACTTGGGTCCGATTACGGGGTGAAAGGGGGTGGCTACTGGTATTAACTATCGCGTTGGGTCAGGATGGAGAGTGGAGAGAGAAGAGACAGCCAACGAAGAGATGACGGTTAGGATGGAGAGTGAGAGGCACGAGTGGGCTGGGAGGAAGAAAGAAAGAAGCCCTAATGGAGAGGAGGGAGAGAGAAGAAAATGGAAGAATGAAAATATATTATTTTATTTTTGGAAGAAACGAGATTTGAGAGGATAATTTTAAAACATCAATATCTAAACACACATCCATACATCCATGATGTAATTCTGAAGCTAATTATCTTCAAGAACAACCAAGTTCTATAGTTGGAAAATCCTTTACAATAAAATTGGGCGATATAGTAAAATTGAATAATAAAAATATGCAGTAAATACAAATAATAATAATAAGAGAGATTTTTTGAAATGAAAACAAAATATCCAAAAAAATTAGAGATGAGGCATTGGAGAAGAGAGAAAAAGGAGGGAGTGAGACATTGATGAGAATGATATATTGACATTTAATTACATGTTATTAGGCCACATGAGTCTTCGGAGTCACGTTTATGTGCAAAGTTTTTATTTTATTTTATTTTTTATTATTTTGAATTCTCAATTTTTACATTTTCGCATTTAGTTGTAAAAAATGTCAGCACAAGAAAGGTCCTTAGCTTGCCGGTTATAAGGACCGAAAATATTTTACTTTTTTTTTCCCTACGCCTATGTGGGTGAAAAGATATGAAACAACGAATAAATATATTATGTTCATATTATATTATGAAATGAATGAGCGTATCGTCAAAGAGAGCACGAGATGTAACTATGATCAAGTAAAAAAGGCCTATATTAGTGTAATTTATTTTAGGGATTAGTATATAGAATCCTTAATTAGGTATCCATGACACAAATAACTAATATATCCATAAGATTCATCCTAATATTAAATCATTATTAAGATATAAATTTGRTAAATTATGAGAAAATCCCTCAAATTTTGCTAATTACACTTTCMAAAWTKRAAAA